AGAAAAAAAGGTAAAAGTAGTGAAAATGTCCTGGTATACACTAGTCATACATTGTATGCAATATATTTGGGCGGGCAAATTCACATGACAAATGTGCTAAACATTACATTAAAAAATATGCGTATATTAAACAATGGAAAGTTTGGTTGTTTTTACATGCATTAAAGAGACTATCAACAAACGTTTTGCTCTTTTTTCTTGTTACCTGATATGGAAAATTAAATAACAGATGTTCTTTAATGATTATTTTATAAATTACCTTGAACATCAATTGCTCAAATTGTCAAAGAAAAGGGAATCTGATTCCATTAAGACAAATTCTGCAAACTAAATATTTTTGACCGATATATTATTTCGTGTTGCATTTTTGTTAGAATATCAAATGAGGTTGATTTGATTCTCAAAATGATAGCAAACTGTTGATCGTATATAAATACGATCACAGTTTCATTCGTTTCCTTCGTGACACGCATAAAATGTACAGGTGTTCACACTGAATAACCTTGTTACAATTATCCCATAAGATCATTCCACACAATGGTTAACATATAGGTAAATCAAACCACATTACATATATTTGTCCCATTTAAAATTGCATGTACATGCATAGATATCATCACTCGAGTGAAAAAAGTTGTAATAAGTTACATCCCCTTACCTGTTGTATCATTTTACCATCACATATTATCATTCAATATATATGCACAAGCAAATTATACCCCTTCTCAATAAAACTTTGCTTGGGGTAGACAGACAAGTAATAGCTAGCATAAACTATGCCAACAGAGGTTGTATGCATGCATATAGAGTCCTCATTTGATTTTTTTCTGAAGATAAAATGAAGTTATACCTACATATCTTTTCAATTTAAGATACATTTTTGATGAACTGATATTTTTGCAGTTATATTTAGGATATGTTATAAACAGTTAGTTAAGAACTTAATATTTGTTTTTAGATTGACTCAATATAAGTAAGACGTAAGTGTTAAACATTAAACTAGTAGGCAAGAAAAGATATCCACTCACTGGTGACGCTTGTGGATGTTGTGATTGAAATACTCCTTGAAATGTTAAACATGTCTAAGCGGCTTTAAAATGCACCTATCACAGATTTGGTTATATTTATAGAAACCAACAGTAGAATTATTGCATGATATTATATATCTTTAAGGGTTTTTTTCATGTTAACAAATTGAGTTTGTCATCAATGAAGGATAACCATACACATGTATATCTCACCTATACCTACATGTTACAGAATATTTAGGTTGCTGCTTTATGTAAGATGAAAAAGAAAAATGATTTGTCCACTATTTAGTTATTTGAATTTTGAAATTTAGACATTATTAAATATGAACTGATTGTTACTTACTAATTTTGGTCTGCACCACTCTTACTCAACATGTACAAATCTGCTGGTACCAGTCACCTCAATGAGAATAATAGTTCCACATGTCAATCTGTCATAATTACCAAGAGACTGACTTTGGGTCAGACCTTTATATGGCCGTTTCCTTGACAACCCCCATCTGTCCTGTCCCACGGGTGATCACTCGTTAGTGAAGGTATTCTGTACCCTACCAATAGACCCTTAGTCTTCGGACACAGATAATGGCAAAGTCTTATGTTGAGTGGATCCTGTGTCATTTTGGCATTGTCTTTTGTACATTTTGCTTTTCATTAGGCCAAATGACCATACCCCAGATTTGTGTGCCTCTTAAGTTTTTATTGGCATATAGGCAATGTTATAGTAAGAACTCCGGCTCTTTATAAGCATAGTAAAAATATTTTTCAAAATACAAAAAAATTGCCTACCAACCTGTACCCTATTTTTCTGAGGATGATAGAAAGTAATTTCTAGATGCAACAATTGTAATTTCCTGCCCAATGTTTTCTCTAAAATTAAAACAAGCTTAGTGGTATTGGCAACTTTACTGATAACTTCCAGATGAACAAAATCGTTTTAATTAAAATTTGAAAATTAAAATCAGTTATTACGTTGATGTGTCATTTCTGTTACTGTATAACAATTAATTATTACGCACTCTTTCAAAAATACCAAGTCAGAGGACGGCTGCACTCTATATTAGGGTTCTAGTGGTCAATACTATTTCTATGGTGTCATTGTAACACCTCCACCTATTTAGTAAGTCTTACTTGATATATATTTAGCGCCAACTATCCTTTTTAAAGTTTTGTACTTTCTTCACTTTGGAAAAAATTATTAGAGCTTTATTCCCCCCTAAACAAATACATATAGCTAATGTGATTCATGACATATATGTCCAGGATCCCAATGTCGTTATGACCTTGTAAGTGGTGAAAAAAACAAAGTCAAATTCCTTCAATATCATAACGTAAAGAAATAATTTAATTAATTATATATGTAACAGATTTTTTTTTACTGATTTATGACAATATAATTTAAGAACTGACAATATTTCATGTAAGTGAAAAGATATGGGGTCACCTGCCTGATCATGCAGGTTTTTTCCAGTTTCCTCCCACACTAAGACCCCGCACGCTAACATCCAGGGCCAACAAGAGTGAATAATATTAGTTAAAAAAACTTGTTTATATACAGGGTATATTCAAAATAAAGCACAATATATAAACTAATGGTTTCAAGCTAATTCCTGATCTTAATAGGTTTAAACAACTTTTCTCATTAGAAAATTGCATTAACAAATTGTATTGATAGTGTTCCAAAAGTTTGTGTCCAAATATAATGTTAGAACAACTTACGCTATTAGATTTTGGCCTCTGACTATTCATCAAAATGGAGAATATTGATCAAATTCTAAAAATTGAAATATTCAATTAGTTAAACAGATTTACAAGCCTGTAATATTTGATTAAAATAATGGCATTTTGTGATAATTACAAATCATATTTACAGG